AGTCAGGTAATGCCCATAGCAAACAAGTGGCTGGTATTTTTAGCACCAGACCTAGAGCCACTGTCTCCTTGGTTTTAGTCTTAGCCTTATATCTTTGGAAAAATTCTTCTAGATTTGCAGCCTGGACTTACTCATTAGGGCAGGTTTGGCAGGAAAACAAAAATAGTGTGAAGTAAAATAGAATAGAATAAAAGTATATGACTTGATGAAAAAAATGAAACCCCCCCCCAACATTTTAGACAAAAAAAAAAAACATTTCTCATTTTTAGGTAATTTCTCAACCAAATCTGTGTTTTCTGACCATTTGTGACCAACACCGATGTTGCAGACCATATGCTGCAGAGCCGTCATGAAAACAATGTTTCTAAGACAGAATTCAGACTGAATTCAGGTAAAGTGCACACCTCACTTTTGGCAATTATGGCCTACGTTTCCTTTTCAACCTGCAGGATGGAGCTAATCAGAATCAGAGAGAAGAAATTTGAGAGTTTAAAGCAAACCGCTAGCGTTGTGATCCAATCAGAGAAAGAGCAGCAGCTCCAAGACGCAGGTAAAACAGTGGTATCACATTAAGTGCGTAGCAGTCACGCCGTGGGGAAGCTCTCTCTGTTCCTGTTCTTTCTTTGGGTTCTACAGAAGAATATTCCACCTTGCCTCTAGATGGCTGGACCACAACTTCTGTCTGCCCAGACACTTTTCACACTTGCCTTTGAGCCCACAGGACTCTATTGCCTCCACAGTGCATAAGTGTTGCCCTCCTGCCGTATACCCAACCCCAGACTGCCCTGCACAGCCCTCTGCAAGGAAGAATGTCATTTTTGTAACCTAAAGGGGAAGAAGGAAAATCTGCCCATCTGTTCTGTTACATTACTCTTACAATCATCTTTGCAGAGGAGGGTAGAAGAAGGAGAATGGCTGCAAAAAGAAATGGTGGCAACCTTGGGTGAAGCACACCTTGGGTAAGCTGAAAGCCAATGGGCCATTACTAGCGGGAAAGATGATGTGTGGAAGTGGAAACAACATACTCTGCTGAAGATGTGTCTCTGCTCACAACCACAACCGGCAGGAATGAAACCCAACTGCTCTCCAATAACTGCACCAAGAGCTACCTCATTCAAGAAGGAGAATATGTGTGTTTTAGCAAGACTTGGTGAACCGGCTGTTAAAACTTCACACCTGCAGATCTGAAAAAGTTCCACTATGCCATCCCTTCGGTCTGATTTATTTAATCATCTGTGTCAAAAATTCTAGTTAGCAACCTCACACTCTTTTTCCTGGAAATTATAATTGATTCGTTTGTATTATTTTTTTTTTTCTGTGCTTCAGGATGTTTCATGACAGTGAACTGGAAGAGTCAGAGAAGTTTTACCAGTCTGTCTCATCCTTTAAAGCTAGGCTTTGCTTTGTACAATGCTGTGGTGTCCAAGTCAGAAATGCTTTGCTATTTTGTAATCATTCTGAATCACATGGTCTCGGCTTCAATCCTCATTTTGGTTCTGCCCATTCTTATTTTTCCCTGGGCCATGTTATCTGTTCCAAGGCCTACAAAATTCTTCTGGATAACAGCGACTATTTATACACAGCTATGTTTTTCTGGATGGCAACGATTATTTATACAGAAATACGTTTTTCTCACTACTGCTGAAGTTTTTCTTAATATTGAAGTGAGTGACTTTGTAAATAACTCATTTTTTAAGTACAGTAAATGTCTCCTAGGACCACTGTTTAAGTGGATTAGCAAGGGGAAAAGGCTTCCAAAAAATGTGCGTGAACTGTAGGCAATTTATTGACTTGAAAACAAGAAATAAGTTGAGTAAAAGAAGAAAATATCTATCCAGCAAAAAATTTCACTAGCTTTCAGAGAAAGGCTTGTTCTCCAGATTTCAAACCATTAAGAATGTCTGCTGGACATTCCCTACGGCTCTTGGATCCATTCCCTGTTCTTAAAAGATGTGCAAATCCTTCTGAGAATACTTATTCTCTACAAGTTTGTATCTTCCAACTCATTTGGTTTCTTTTTCTTCTCTCTAGATAACAGTAGTTGTCAAATATTTTTCGCAGTTTGGATTCTTTCCATGGACAACTAAATTGTTTTGTGCCATCAACGCAGAAGAACCATTCGTTCTGCCAAATATTGTTGGGACTGGGAAGAAGCCTGGCTATGTGCACTTTGATCTCATCCAGCTGCTTGCTTTGTTCTTTCACAGGTCAGTCCTGAAGGTAAATGGTCCTACATCAGAAGAGGAAATCACTATTTTTTCTCAACTCTGATGCATATTTGCAGTTGAATCAAATTCTGCTGGATGTGCTTTGTCTTATTTTTTGTTATAAATCTAAAATTGACTTTTGTGTTTGAAGGAGTATGGCCTCAGCATCCAAATCTTGATTTGAAGGTAAATTTAAGAGCTCTCTCTCAGCTTTGTAAAAGGCTAAATCACAAATCTAAACACCACTGGCTCTAGTTCTTTGGCTACGTAATTCAAATAAATGCTGCCTATTTAATAGAAGGTGCACATATACCATAGCAGTTGGAGCCTTAGGAGGAAAAATTCTGGTCCCTTTGAAGGGCAGGAAGTTGTGCCATGAATTTCAGGGGAATCTGAAATGTTGATCTAAATCTGTGAGGTTGGGTTCATTATTTATTCACCTTAAAGGCTTTCTTAAATCTCAGACGCAGGCTCTCTTTATGGCCATTCCCATTTCTGTCTTTTTGCTTGTCTGATGGGTGATATGCGATTTTCACAACTCACAGACATAGACTGTATTATGCTTTCTTAAAATATTTCTTTTAGTGTCATGAACTGTGGGATTTTGAATGTGTTGATATTCTGAATTCCAAGAAGAAAAGACCAACTAGATGGCAAAAGAAAAAGGAGTGCGGAGGTAACTTGGTGGAAGAAGAACTGGGATCAATGAGATGGCTTCTTCTGAGGCAGCACAATCCTTCAGCAAGTGTTTTCAGAGGAAGCCCTGAGCCCCAGGGAATGGAGGCCGTTAGATTCTCAAAGCTAGTCTTGTACATTTAAAGAGAAGTATGTTCCATTTTAAATTAAGAGAGGAAGAGTACAACAAAAGTACAACCGTGTTGACTGAATGAGTGCATTCTTGTCACAGTTAAAACAGAATCAGTCCTCTTCCCAGAGAAATTAGGAAACATGCTATGATCAAAAAAATTTGCTATTTGAACAGATTTGTTATTTGTCTGTTGTTTGGTAGATAAGCTTCACGAGAAGGAAGTAAGGAAGAGATGGAATCCTTTTGGAAAAAATCCCATCAGTAAGAAGAAACTTCTCAAGCATAAGATGAAACAACTGATCCTCAAGACAAAAATGCTCGTGGTTAAAACGTAACTTAAATATTACTTCTAGCGTCCCTTAACAAGATGCACTTTAGCCCAGTAGTTATACTAATTCCAGTCTTCGTAGGCTGCATGCCTTCAGGATACGCATTTGTGCATTTTAAAGACCCTTTAGCAGAAATTTCAACTAAAATACCCTATTTTTATTCCTTAGGGCCCTTCAAGTCTACTGGCCCATCTGGCAGTTCTGCTATGATATCATTCATCCAGAGTACAGCCACGTTTGTGATGTTTTTGGTTGATGTGATCAATTTTATTATCATTATCTTTGGATACTGGGCTTTTGGGGTAAGCACAAGAGTGAATGCGGTTCTATAGCCTGTGGAGCAAGATCATTTGATTCTTGACTTAGGGACCACAAAGTACTGTCAAAGGTCTCTACTGAGTCTTTATTCTTAAAGCTGAGGTTCATGAGAACCCTTGGACAGCCTGCGTTAATGATGAAAACTGGGAGTCTGTATTCATAAGCCTGTATAAGACATACACTTTGTATTCACTTTAGCTGATTGCTTTGTTCTTCCACTAGGAACATGATGCAAATTTCCTCTGATCTACAGCCACTCTTTTTCTGTTTGATTTTTGATTCAGCCTTAAATTCTAGCGAAACATAACAGCTTAGACGAATATCAGAGTCACTAACCACGATAATGGGAAAAGGAAAGGCACAAGAGAACAAGAAAATGGAACGCAGATGTGGCAAGGTCACTACTTCCCAAGAAGAGCAAACCGTGCACTTTGAGGTTTTCCCAAGCATTCTCCTTTCCTGGGCAATGCTGCAGAGGTCCTGTGCAGGATGGAAGCAGATCTCAGTGCAGAGATAAGATATGAAAACCAGTCAGAAACAAATCAGAGGGCCTTGGATGACTCCCTGAGGAAATGAGCAGTCCTAAATTCCATCAAGATCAGGACTTACGTAGGGCACCACTATAACAGGAGAAATGCTCTTTCAGGATCAGGTTCCCAGAGCCAGGGTGAGAGGGCCAGCTTCACTTCCAAACTGCTCTTAGTGCCAACCGGAAAGAATAAATTTCTAGAAAAAATGCTCAGCTCAGTCTCTTAAATGTTGTTAGTTTGGCTGTTTGCATACTGCAGCGCACTCTTCTTGGCCAAGCTTTGCAATGAGATGCAAAAGAGAGCTTGTACCATAAATGCATTTTGAGGATCTTAGCTCTGGATCTCTCTTTCCACACCTGGCTGTTGCTAAAGTGACGGCTTCAGTAAAAGAGAAGTGGATACCGAGCTGGGAAGAGAGGCAGCAATAACAATCAAAGGCTCTTACAAGAGAAAAAAACCTGCAAAACAGTCTTAGCAATAAAAAATGAGGACAGGGACAGAGAAATCAAAAGCTGGATCAGGAGCTGAATTCTCTCTCTCTCTTTCTGCCCACCCCCTCCTCTTTTTAATAGAATCAGGTAAAAACTTCAGGTCTAAAACCTCCCAAATCTGGGGATGAGAAATCTAGAGCAGAACAGTAGGAGAGCATTTGGTTTGGGGAGCTTCAAGAAACAGACCTGTGTCAGGCTTGAATATAGGATTGGTGCCCACTCATACGTAAAACATATCAATAAAGAAAATTGTTCAAAAATACTATCTTTGAACCCTTTCAGGTGTTCTTCTATGAACACCTGTTCTTCTACGAACACCTGAAAGCCCCAGGTGTTATTTACCTGGGGCTTTCTTAAAGGTACAATCAGTGGCACTACTTACCTAAATAGCAACCACTGACATGAGCATGGATCCAAATTTTCAGTTATTCCACTGGATAGATCAAATCACCAGGTGAACTCAGAGTCATGTGTGTTGTATACAGGTTCTCCTCCTCTTTCTATTACAAACTCCAGTCTCCACGATTCGTTTCGGAAACGTTCAGCAGCTGCTGACATCACCAGATGGCTTTCAGAAGACCAGGTCCCGGTAGCCTTCTTGCTGATGCTCCTGTTTCAGTTTGGCACAATGATGGTGGACTGGGCTATATACTTAAGGAGGACCATGTTCGAGAAGTGTGTAGTCCAGATGGTCCTCCTTTTTGGTGTTCACTTTTGGATGTTTTTCATCTTACCAGGCATTACTGAAAGGTATTAGCTTGCCTATTTTCATATAATATACTTCTCATGCCATCCACCGCTTTCAGTGGAGGACTGTGAAAGCGTATATGGTTCTGAGAGCTGGTATTTCTGCATGATGTGCATAGAGACTGAATATACTCTTTTGGCCAGCAAGCTGTGATGAGAATGTTTGGAAAGGGGTAGATGAACACTGTGAATTTCAGGTTTTCCAGCAATCCACAGCAGAGAAGCACAGCGTGTTCTGGGCAATGACTGTGCAAAAACATATGAGTAACTGTGGTTTAGTTTGCTCCTGCAGACAGTCATGTCTGTGGCTCATAGGCCTGCTCAGATGTGGTAAAAATATTTGATCTGATAAGGTGGCCTAAGCTCTACCAGGAAAAAGAGCCATCTGCATATGTACGAAATATGGCAAAGGAAAAATCCCAGTAGGAATATTTGCCCAACCTTAGCTATCCTATCAAAAGCTCTTCTCTATAAGCAGACCCCAATCTTCTTGAACTTTTTATTGTTCAAGCCACAGAAAAAAAAGTAGTATCTAGCAGGACTTCCAGCTCTGGCATATGGCCTCTGCATTGAATCTTGGGTTTTGCTGGGTTGAGATTTGGTCCAGATTTTAAAAAAGAGGTCAAATCAGTTATTTTGAAATAGTCACATCTATGTTCTTAAAAAACAACTTTCACGGGAAAAACATCCAAGCAAATCCTGTGATCTGCTCATTTCCAGGATGTTTAACAGAAACCATGTGGCTCAGCTTTGGTACTTGGTCAAATGCATTTATTTTGGTTTGTCAGCCTATCAGATCAAATGTGGCTATCCAAAGGGCATCCTAGGCGACTTTCTGACAAAGAGCTACAATTGCATCAACCTCTTCTTATTTCAAGGGTAAGTACAGCAGTGACATTCAGCTTTTGCAACAGAGAATGCAAACTGCACACCTGGTCCTACTCACGTAAGAGCCAACGGCACAGTCCTGCCACGGTTTAGTTTAGGATACTTGCAATTTATGGAAAGTGCACCAAAAATTCTTTGCAGGAAATGAGAGCAGCATCTGAATGCTCTTGTTTGACCCCTGAACACAAACCATGTTTCTTACTGCTGTGGTCAGCCTTACCCTTCCCTCATGGAGGACTGTTCCAATTCTAAATAATTACTCCATGAGTATTTATTTCAGACACATGGTCTAATTTCTGGCAGCCGCCCCTACACTAAATTCTCTCTGGTGCCTGGAACAGCTGCTTATTCCTCCAGCTTGGGCCTTTGAGATGTAAATAGTGTAATCCAGCTTCAAGAGGCAAGGAAATATTAGCAGAATTTAATGTAAATATTGTATAAATCATCCCAAAATAGCATGGCCATGGGATGAGCCAAAGACACTAACAGAAAGTTAAACAGACTAAGTAAATACAGACTAAATATATTCCCCTCCTGGAATTGCCACTGGAATGGATCCAGGCAGGAAATATGTTGAAATGCAGTTTTGTGGCAGTGATATTAAAAAGCCATTGGCCCATTTGGTGACATTTAGAATGAATTTATGTACTCAATGCATTTTTAATACATGCTGAGTTAAATATTATCAAATCTATAAAAAGATTACGGAAAGAATGTCTGTTTTCATATGGGTGGACACCACCTGGAACTTTGTGGGTTTTGTGCAAGAGAAGTGTTTGAAAGAAAACGTGAAAGAGAAAAAAAATCCTTGCTGCAAGCTATGTAACTAGGTTTCAAGCAGCACATGCACAAATCATTGCACTGCAGTTTTTGAACCTGGTTGCCCATTCAGAGGCTAGAAGTTGCTATACATTAAGGCAACAGAATTTGCAGGACACAAACTACAACGTGGACCAAGGAATGAGACACACTAATTCTATCCCTTACATGTGCAAATGGAAGAAATTAATCCAATTGTCTAGTGTGTCTGGATGTCTAGAGCCTGATTCAGTATAGCATAAGTATAAATGGACCCTGTTCTCACACGGATCCTTTTTTAGCTGGTCTCTAGCCCCTACTGTAGAAAATAAAAGTTTTCTGATGATAACAAGATGTCTTGACTCACCTGGAACAGTCCTGCAACACAGGCGCTTCTCTTGATGTCCCAAAGCCCTTTCTTCTGACTTTGTCCAAAATTTTACAAACAGGATGGGATTTCCATGTTTCCCCCTCTTATACTGCACCCAAAGAAGGTGGAAGCTTTCTATGATTCCCCAACCCCCCGGACACTCCTCAGCTACCCAACAGACTTCAAATCAGAAGCTACAGGAAAAGTCCAATACTCCCAAGGGGACCATGTCAAGGAAACACGGCAGTGAAGGCCTGCAGCTGGGACTCCAGCTTCTTGTGCTCAGCAAATACAACAGTCTAAAAGGTACAAGCTGTTCTCTGTTCAATCTATAGGTTTCGCCTGATGCGTTTCCTCACAGAGCTCTGGACTGTCAGGGACCGGGTCTGGACAGGCACAGTCCTCAGCTGTTCTAGTTGGATCTGTGTCGAGGATTTATATGCAAACATTTGCATTATGAAATGCTGGAGAGAATCTGAGAAGGTGAGTGACTCTAGTTGTGCGGTCCCTTCTGATGAAAACCTCTAGAGTAGTTGTGGCAAAATAACTATCATTTCCCTTTTTTGCAGAAATATCCTCAGCCTTCAGGGCAGAAGAAGAAAATGATTGTGAAGTATGGAATAGGGGGCTGCATTACCTTCATATTGATGTGCATTGTGTGGTTTCCTCTGCTTTTCATGTCACTGCTTCAGGCAGTGGCAGGGGTGACCGGCCAGCCCTCGGATGTCTCAGCCCGACTTCCGATTAATGGTTATGCGGTAAGGCGTTCCTCTCACCACAGCGTAGGGGACAACTACAAGTTAGAAACTCAGTAGCCGAGAGGCTTTAACACGAGGGAAAGTCCTTTCACCTCAATGTGAACGGAAGGCTCTTCGGTGCTATTTACAAAGCAGCAGGGAGATAAATGGTAGAAAAAAGGTGAGACAGTAACAAACACAGAACCAGCGAGATCCATTTAGTCTCTTTCTGCCTGCCAACATTACAGATTTTGTTAGCTTTAGTAAGTCCTGTCCTGGATGCAGAAGGAGGTATTTGCAAACACCCACCAATCCAGACTCCCCGTAGTCAGTGAGGAGCGGGTTTGCTCTTGTGGGGTAGGCAGACCACAGGGTCCTCCAGAATAGCCTTTCTCTCCGTATTAACAGTAAGGGACTGAGCTATTCGCCTCCCTAGGCTATATGTAGCCTTTATCCTACAGGCTAAAGGCTGCACTTAGAAGACCTTCTCAGATTCTTCTCTTCTTCTCCTAGTCATTATTCACCATGAGCGCTCAGCAGAGGAATCTGATCTCTTTTACTCAAGCCCCGGTGAAGCGTCCTGAAGCACATCAGAGGGAGCACACCCATCTCTGTTGCGCTGCACCATGTCAGCTCCCTCCTAAGTTTAGTGCTGCCTAGCAAGAGCTATTCAAAAAGGCAGAGGGTATTGGATAGGTCTATCTTTCCTCTATGGGACTGAGCCATAGAGAAAACTCTGGTGATGAGTCTGTCCCCAGGTCCTCAATTCAGACAGTGCCCAAAGTGATAAAACACGCCGTCAAACTCATTTGCTTCATGCAAAATGCAGTGCCGTCAGAAAAGGCCTTTCTGCCTGTGATAAGGTTTACAGGCTGAAGGTAAATCGAGACATCACAGACAAATTTTGCCCAGACTGAGCATGTGGGTCTGAGACAGTCCTTAAAACACCCATTCCCCTTGGTTTTACAAAGCAAACTGGCAGACCACCTTTTAAGCATGTCTCCTGGTTGCAAGATGGACCTCTTGCTCGCTGAAAGCCAGCAGCAGAACTTTGCTAGTTTGAACTTGCCTCCAGGTTAAGCTGGTCTTTTAAGAGAGCCTGGGCAGGAAGGCAGTTCTGCTCTTGCAAGAGCCACCAGGACAGCACGTGGCTCCTCAGAGAGCAGCACCCCAGGGCACCCCCGGCAGAAACACCCTTGGACTCAAACAGCACTGAACGAGCAATATGTCCTTCACTGCTGGGGTCACTGTACTGGGCTCCCACCTGCAGCCTTTCTCCAGGACGAGCTTGGCAAGGCTGGGCCCTGCTTTCTGCCCACTTGGCTCTGTGGCTCGCCCTGCCAACCCCTTCCTACCCCCACATCTCACCCTTGTGCTCCCCTCTGCAAGTCCGCCGTGCAGTTCATAGTGAACTACCACCCGGAGGACGTAGTCGTTGCCCAGATGAAGAGCAGCGCCAGCCTGCTGTGGACCATCAGCCCCCAAGCCGGGCTGCCAGGATCGAGGAGCTCGCTAACCCCACTGCCACCCACGTCACCTTCCATTGGGCCATCCTCAGGTAACAGCAGCACTGCCTGGACGAGGACACTACTGCGTTTCCCTTTCTGTGCCCACAGTGGCTGAAAAATTGCTCTTTAAAAGCTCAGCTGAGCCCTATTTCAGCTGCGGGTGGCTGCCAGCCCTTTGGAGCAGGGACCGTGCAACAGAGGGCACAGTGGGGCCCCGAAAGCTTCCAGGAGCAGTGCTGGCCACTTGGGCATGGCACGAGAGACAGGTGCGACATGACACCACTCACTGCATGCAGGCACATGCCACCACAGCCAGGTCCAGCCCCGGTGCTCCAGGGTGCTCCCCGCTAGCCCAGGGCTGCAGGGCCTGGCAGAAGGCAGCGTCCTCAAAAGAGTCCTTTTTGTGGCTTTTATCTTTTTTTTCCCTCTGTCACTCTTGCTCCAGGAGAATGCCTCTCTGGTGAAGAACGCGGAAGCATCTGGCAAGCACATGGTGCGGCAGTACAAGAAGAAGGAAATACAAGAGCAAGTTGTTCAAATGCTGAACGGGACCAGGACAGAGCCAATGTCAGTATTTTTCTTCTCTTTGGGGAGGCGTGCGCTGGCAGAGAATTCACGTTAAAGGAATAAGCACGCTTTGCTAGGACCACTTCCCAGTGAGGAGGCTAGGGAAGGCAAGGTTTCCACCCCCAGGTGCATCAGCAGGTGCTTATCATCAGCAGCCTCTTCTGAAGAGTGCTGGGCCTACAATGGCTCTACAGCTGTAATAATTTAAGCTGTAATACTTTAATGGGGGGGGGGGGGGGACTGTAAAGTTAACTGCACTAGTCATTGTGAAGCACTCAGTCAGGATGGTAACAGAGGCAGTAAGAGCTTCGGGTAGCTTCTGCCATGTGCTCACCTCAAGCTGGACAGAGCTGCAGGCAGGTGTGGGTGGTAACTGCAGAGACCAAATTTCAGCTGGGCTGCTCGGTATGGGCTTATTTCTGTTTGGTAACTATCCCACAAATTAACCTCTAATGCTGAATACTTGCTACTTCTAAGGCAGTTTGGGCACGTCCCCTTTTCTAGATTGCTTCCAGGCCTCATACCAAGATACTTCAGGGCGAGCACTGCAGAAGCTAAAATGGCACATTGCCTGAAAGTGGGTAAGCAAATCAAGGAGGCAGTGGAACTGGGTCTTGGTGGAACTAAAATTCTACCATTTGGTAGTAAAGAAACATTGAGAGCTTAACAGGAACGATCCCAGTACCTCTTATGATACATAAAAGAAAATCACTTCTTTGGTGAACACAGCTCATGAATCACTTTCTAGTATGGGTAAGAAAATTCTGCCCTGGAGAGTAGACTGCTTATCTAAAAGGGAGGAAAAAATAACGAGAATAGGGCATAGCGAGAGATGCTATTAAGAGAATTTAAAATGCCTTCATTTTTATATCTATGAAACAGCTCCTTCTCAAAAAGCGCAAGATCCAGACAAAACCACCTTCTCCCAAAGCATAACCCTAAAACTACAGCAGCTGCCTCCCAACTCATCCCCAAGCCAACATACTGAGTGGTGGACTGTTGAAGAGCAGAGTCCTAGCTGCTCCAGAAAGGTCTGCAACAAGAACATGTTGCTGATCATCTCCAATGATAAAGTCAGCCCTTCCGCCTGGGATTTTTGGCAGGATACGGGTGAGAAGGTAAATGATGTACTACCAATGTCACACCCTTTTGCTCTTTATTTTTGGTTTACTTTACTTGGCTTAAGCAAACTTAAGCAGTTGCTAAGGTTTTGATTTCCTTAGTATTTATCCTGTTTAGTCCTTCTATTGCTTTTCAAGTATTTCATATTAGATTTCTTTTCTACATTGGTCAGATGGCTTAAGTGCCTTCCAATTCCAGCAACACAACATGCTTTGAGAAACAGTAAACCAGAAGAATATGGTAATTAGCCATTTCTGTTTTACTTGAACTTGCATTCAGTGAAATTTCAGTGGTGAATAACAACAGAATTTAGCCCTAGCCAAGATTGCAGGCTAGTCTTCATGTAGAAATCTCCCTAATTTTGGCAAAACACTGTAAATCTCAAAACTAGAACTAGTTAATTGGAAGGCGTTTCGACAGTATGGAAATCTAAGACTTGATTTCACAGCAATGAAATTAGAACGTTTTGGCATTAATTTCAGCGGTCAGATTGAAACACTAACGAAAGTAACTGCTCAACAGTTACTGCTTCCCCCACAACAGGTTCTGGTACTCGATAGTGCTTTAATACTGAGTGCTGAGAGCAGGAGACACGAGCTGTCAGTTCCACAGGTCAGAATGATCCCTTCGGAAGAAAAGGGGAAGAAAAAAAAATCAAATACTGTCCTTGTTTTCTTCCTTTTCTCAGCATTGCTGGACTCTGTTGTCTCTGCCATTGGCAAGTTTGAGAGTTCTTCAGTGGTATTTCCCACTCCATAACGTTTGAAGAGCTTCCCAAAGTGGATCGCATCCTGAAACTCTGCACAGATATCTTCTTGGTGAGGGAGACTGGGGAGCTGGAGCAGGAGGAATAACTCTTTTCTAAACTCATTTTTCTATATAGATCTCCTGAAACTATGATCAAGCGGACCAGGGACTTGGAACCACAATAGAGGGTCAAATACAGTAAATAATGAAACTGTTTTAAAAAAAAGTTATATTCCATGAATCAAATAGAGCCACAAAACCAAAATGAAAAATGTTTTTCTTCTCCCTTCTGCGTTAAGCTTTCCACAAGGTCTTTAATCAAAAAGACTGATGTCCAAACCAGATGTGTACCTCATTGTTGGAGCTTCAGCTAAAACCTAGCACCAATTCTCTCCAGAGATCACCATGCACACAAGGAAAGGTATCATTTATTACAGTTCAGTTTGACTTTATCTGCAAAGCAGCCAAAAGCGTGTGCTGGGTGGGATTTTTCAGCATCAACACTGGTTGAGCCAAGAAATGTTTCCAAAGGCTGACGCTTGAATCCATGGGGCAGGGACCAGCACCGATTAAAACTTGGTCACTCTGTTCCCAACTCTGCTGCTGACATTACATAAACTAGGGCAGGTCATTTCCCGTGGGAATGCCGAATTATTACTTGCAAGTGCCTTGTGACTAGCTTATACAGAAAATAATATGATGCATTCCATCCCCGATTCCTGTTGAATCAATCAAATGAAGTGAACCAGCATAAGTTCTTCAGCACCGTATTAAGCCATTCAGTGTAAGACGTTCTTCTGTTAGGTCTGTTTCAGACGTATGAGTGCTGGGAAGATGAATTTGAACACAGCAATGAAGTCACACACAAGCCTTTGGAGCGCTCGGTGTACTCAAACGTAAATAACACTATGAAACACCACATGGGATATGTAAGCTGCTTTAATAATAATAAATTTAAGTGGCAAGAAGCCACTCTTTGTAAACCGATTTTACTCAATCACAGTCCTCTTATTTTTTGCTCATTTAACATGAATAATTCTGTAATTTGCATGTGAAAGATTTATATAGAGATATGTTCTGGCCCACTCTAATGTTTTTGCTGACCAGTAAAATCAACAAGAAACATGCGGAAACAGCACCTTATTAAAACTAAATGCCTTTTCTCATTACATCTCTTTTGCTGCTAAGCTAAATTGTCAACAAATATGCCAAACCTACAGTGGTTTTTTCCCCATCCTGTGTTCTGAGATGTAGTGGGGCCTGCTGAAACGTCTGATAAAACCTCACATAAAATAAGTAATTCAGAAGGCTGTGTAAGCAAGAGCTGCAGTTGCTTCTTCAGACTAGAGAGAGCTTTTCATGCATTAAATGCACTTAGTTAAGTTTTGTGAGGCGCTCCAAGGAGGACGTGCCATCCCCCTGATACAGTTAGTAGAGCCTGGAGTCTGCACCGTTGGTATTGTTCAGCAACTGTGTGCAATAATAATTTAAAAAAAAAAAACAAGAAATCAGGCTGTTTTATCAGAAACAAGTAATAAATCTTATCATGATAATAAAAAAATGGCAATTTCTGATGTGTGACTTTTTCATTGCTTGAGAATGAATCAGTGCAAAGTGAGGTAACACATGCACCCCGTCACTTTGGGATGAGGGCGCATTAAACCAGGCGCCGCCTTTTGGAATCCCTCTCCATATCTTCAGTGGGAGAGTCTCCATTGCATCCTAGTGGGGACACCATGTTTAGCAGAGGGTCTTCAGATGCCCCTCCAAACAGAGACAGCAACAAAGCCACGCCATAGCCAGTAGCTCGTTCACCCTAGAGGAAAAAAAAAAAATTCACACTTCAGATTGTATAACCTGGGCTAGTTTTAATTTACCTACCCGTTCAATAAAGCAGTGAAGGTGCACAGCCACAACGAATACTCAGGGTCCCTAGCAGGCCTCCTCAGCTTGGGATTCCATATCTGTATTGCTGGAATCTAACCAGGAACCTTGTCCTGGTTAGATTAAACCAGCACATCAGTCGACTCACATGAGAGCGGAGCTCACAATTTCTCGGGGTCGGATTTGTGCTGACAATATGGAGGGCAAAGAACGTTCGATCCAACTAAAGCACAGATTTGGAATGCGAGTTGAAGACATTGAGGGAAAAGAAAATAAAAAGTAAATTGGCTTGTTTGTCAGAGAAGAAAAGAACATACACAAGTTCCAGACAAGGGAGGAGGGGGAATGCTAGAGCAAACAATTGTTTTCCCTGCTGCAAGTCAGCAGGCAGAAAAAAGAACTCTTCGTCAATCACCTTAAAGGCAATAGGGGGAAAAACTGTTTGGAAGGCTAGAATTACTTCCATAACGAACAAGCCACTGAGTTAAGAAACACAGGTTATTGAAGTTTAAAGAGTTAAAGAACCTGCTGCTAAAACTGACTTTTAGAACATTTTTAAAAACCAAACGAAAAAGACGGCCAGATGAAGCTACCGAAACAAAGGAATTCTATTTCCCAAATACAGATGCAGAGTCAATACATTCCAAAAGCCTATTCTCCATCTAATTCTCTCTCTTTGCATTTAAAGGGATAGAATTCAGGGGATCTGCAGGCACAGGCAGTTTTCTTTCCTAGGGGAGCAAGCAAGGTAAAATGTCAGAAGTTACAGGAACACACTCACCGCATGAACAGGTGCGGCAATGTCTATATGGACCCAGACTCCAGGCCAGTCAAAGCCAATGTGAGAAGCAATGAAGAGCCCAGCACAGGAACTTGGAGTATTGTCTCGGTCCTGTAGAAACAGGATACAATTTTCTTGCAAGAAAAGAAAACGTCAGTGTTCTATTCTTGCCTAAAAGACGACAGCGTGCAAATCTAGTTCAAAGCTTAAGGGATGGCTCTAAAACCTAGACTTGCTAACCAGGTATACGGTATAACTCTTGACTCAATCCCTGGTAGCAGTCTAGTCTCATTCTTCCATGCAAGCTCCTTTATGCTGTGTTTTTGAAACCTATTGCACATTTTAACTCTCAAAGATAGTGAGCACATCCCTCAGGTCTCTGTCCTCGACCTCCTGGTTGCTGCATTCCCACTTACTCTCTCTGCTGGCTATAAATGATCTGAGAACGTTCATCGTTACTTCTTAGGAGGTTTCCACCCAGGACTTCAGCACACATTTTCAGGCTACGCCTAAAAGGCGAGCAGCCCAAAGATATCTTTGCAGCAGGGTATATTGTGTGATATAAAATTGACCCTAAATATCAATGTAGAGATATTTTGTCTGTAAAATATCTAAATAAATAATGGTTTTCAACGTCCTTATATGGCCCATTTCTTAAAATTATGGCCCACAGGAAAAGCTTTCATCCAACCATCAACAGCCCAGCGCATTATTCAGGATAGGCAAAGGAACGTGGATCAGAACACATCTTTATGCAACAACTGGGATTTAAAGAAAAACTTACTGCCACAGAGTTCTTCATATCAGCTACAGCAGAGGTAAATTCACTGAAGTGGAGCTCAGGGCAATATACAAGAGGATGGACCAAGTCTCCACAGTTCCTACCAGCTTTAACGCAAGCCTTTTCCCACTCTTCGTTGTTAGTAAGGACAGCAGCATGATACTTTCCTGTAGCAATTCCCTAGTGAAATGTAAGAGACAATCAGCAAGTATCCACCTTTATTGTGCTGGGTAGGACAATTCTCTACTCCCTGCTCTGCATTAACAGTTGCTTGTCATCTAACAAGACCACCAAGAAAAAAAAAGGCTCAAACCTATACGACAAGAGGGTGGTGTTATGAACGTAGACACAGACATTGCAGCTACTACTGAAGCTTTTAAAATTTCTGGAAGTCCATTCTGCAGTGAAACAGTCCGCGTTTATTTGACCTATTCAAACCACAGTCCCATAAAAATATCCCTTTGTCGTTACTGAGTAAGCAAACTATATGCCTCGACAGTTATTTATTCTTAGGAATAAAATCAAATCAGAAATGAATTGCAAATAAAATAGCTAACATACTAGCAGCTAACATATTCTAGCAGCGTGTGTCAGCAAACATTCTGAATGTAACATCTCGAATGGTCAGAAAGGTCACGTCCTTCTAGATCTACAAAACCCGGAAGCCATCCTTGCTTCAGTTTTCCAATAGGATAACGATGGGAAACTTAAAGGATTAATGTTTACACCAATGGATGCAACATACACGCTTTCAAAAATTTGCCGCTGTTTCTCCCCTTGATAGGGAGACCATTTTTTCCTCCATAAGATTAGCCTGCCAGTATCACTTCCTACAGAAAAAGGAATAGATTTCAAAAAACTATAGCATTCAATTGGTATCCCTGTATCATTCTGTCTATGACTTACAACCTAATCCCTTTTACAGACAAGAAAATTCCTGTGCTTTGGGTCAGATCCTCAGTTGGCGGAAATCAGTAAAGCCTCAAAGGAGCTAATCTGATCAACTCCAGTAGAAGACCTGATCCATAATTTCTGTCTAGTATCTTGCAACTGCTAAGCAACATTCAACTAGCTGCAGCATCCACAAAATGCAGTAGCACATCCATAAAACTCTTATCTGACCTTATGGTAACGATAGCCTAATAGTACTATACTTAACCACATCAAAATCTCTTGTGCCAAGGAAAGAAGTCAAACTGAAATTGCCAGTAATCACATTTAAATCACACCCTTATTTTTAGCATTAAGGATGGCTACTACTTCCCTGTTTATTAACAGAGAATGTTACTAAATATAGAAAATGACTCAGAGCAAATTGAAAATAGCGTTTAAATGAAGTTCTGCTAATTATAAACCTACTGAATTGCAAACACTGGATCACTTACATCACCTGCTAACGTCATCAGAAAAATACCATTTCTTCCTCAAGTATGCATGAAGCATAAGTCACGTAAAAAACAAAAAACCCGCTGGTTTCTAGAAAACGTTGATGAAAAAGTCATCTTCTCCAAATACATTGTGCACACACAGAGTTACCGCTTACTGGTGTTACTGTTGGTAGTTTTTTCTCTTGCACAAGTTTTTAAAGGCATCAGCAGGTATCAGTTCATGATATCCAGTCTCCTCCAACAACCAGTAGGTCTGAGGCAGACGCAGATGATGCACAGACGCTAAAAAAAACAACATCCCCCGTCCACTAGCAGCTTTGTACCAGTACCTGAGCTCCAGTAAGAGTGGCC